TCTCTCTCTCTCTCTCTCTCTCTCTCTCTCTTTTTCGCCTTTTTCCTCGTCGTATGCGTTCATTCGATTCACTCACCCTTGCATTCTTCACTCTTCAAAATTCATCTCTTGCATTTTTTTTTTTCATTTTTCGTTGGGGAGTTCTTCGTTTTTCCACATCGTCGATGGATTTTATCAATTAATTTCAATAGTTTCGGAAATAATTTTATGTACAAACGTCTGTTTATCAAACTATCAACTATTGTGAACAGTGGGAAATTCAGTCGAACCCTAGAAATAGTACAATTATGTGGAAGACACTAATTAGAAACAGTAACAATGGTTTTTCATTCGTTCGAAAACTAGTTGTGTATAAAATAGGATTAATCCGAGGAAATTTACAAATTTACGTATCAATCAAACGTGCGTCTACTACAATATTCAACAGGAAAAGAAAAATATATCCATCGACGATGAGACCTGAACATGTCAAAATTTTTGACAAAAAAGAAAAAAAAAGAGAAAAAAAACATGAAAAATTGGTAAAATAAAGAGTTCAGGATTAGTCTTTAATTATTCAAGAAAAAGTCAAATGTCTTTTCGTTAATTTTCCCCGAAAAAATGACATTTTATCGATGATTTCACGCTCTGAAGAAGTCCCCATGGTCGAAATAGTCTGTATTATTTTTCATTTCCACACGTTTCAATCTTTTTTTTTTTGTTTGTTTTCGTATTATCTTTACTTTATTGAAATTGGTCTCACGTATTTCATTGCGTGGGATAATTGGGCATCGTGTATGTCACCATTGTAGGTTGTTGGCCAGGTTGAATGGGAGCTGAACCAGCTTGAGGTGGTGCTGTTGCTTGTCCTGGCTGCCAAGTACCACCACCTGGTGCTTGCATTCTCATGCCTGCATTCATGTACTGAGCTTGTTGCTGGCCATAATACTGGCTATAGTACTGGGCAGGCTGGAGAAATTGTCCTTGCATTTGGGAGTAGCCCTGCGGGTACCAGTACATCTGCTGGCCGTAACCATACGAGTACTGGCCTGCGACGCATGTCACCTGTTTCAGGGGAATTCATTGACATTTAATTTTTTTGCATTTTTGGGAATGGGATTTTCTCGGCGGCGAGTGGGTTGAAGTGAAAATGTCACAGGACATTTTTTGTGGAGAATTTCCTCAGCTACAAAAAATGTTTCATGATATTTTATCCTAAAACCAATTGTTTACGAGATACTCGCAGTTTTCTATCAGGAATAATGATTGTCAAATTTAAAACATCATGATTTCATCAAAAGTTTGTTAAACTTCTCCAAAATTATTCGACTGCTACTCTGATTCCTTAATCGTTACTGATGAAGTTATGGAATTTTTAGATCCACCTTCACATTCTCAATTCTCAGATACGAATAGTTGGCTATAACGTTTGGAAACAACTGCAGTTTGCAGTTTAATTGAGTTTTTGGTGAGATTGATTCCGCTTCTAGTTCCACAGATAAACCGAGTAGTTTTGCCGTGTGGGGGTGAATAAAATGATTTATCTAAATGGGAGGGATGAGCATCACAAGCAAAACCACTTGAACTAATTGGATTTTGAGGTGCATTAAATATAAAAATGCATTTCCAATGGTTTAGGGTGAATATTCATACCTGCTGAGCTTGCTGATTGGCATTGGGTCCAACGCTGTTGGGATCGCCATTCTCCTTACCCCAAAAACACTTGACAATACTACCATTTATTTCTGTGTTGTGGGTAACCTCGATGGCGTGTGTCGCCGCCTCTTTAGTCGTGAATTTAATAAAAGCGTAACCCTTATCCTTGAATACTCTAATATCCTGAATTGTACCGAATTGTGAGAATGTTTTGCTTATCAAGTCATCCGTTATGCCATTTGTGAAGCCACCGCAGTAGACTGTGCAATTGGTTGGACTACTCTGGGCATATACCTGTTGACAATAATTAATAATGCAATTTAAAAAATGTTTTTATAAATACAATTCTAAGAATTCCCGACTTTACTTTTTCCTGAATATCTCGGAATCAGAGACAGATGGCAAAATTTCTATATAAACCTTTTTTGTAGCTCTCAAAATTCTCCACAAAAAAGGTCTCCGTCAAAATTTTGCTATTTCCATTAAATTCGAAGATATTCAACAAAAACCGTAGTATTCATAAATGAAGAACCAAAACTATTACCTCCTCGTAGTTTTGCTTGCTGTTATTAGCATGCCTAGGTCTCTCACTCCTGGGTGGTGGTGGTTTTCTCGTCGACCAATTTGTCCTGATGCTACGTGACCCCAACCACTGACCATTCATAGCAGATATAGCAGCCTCAGCCTCAGTTTTTTTAACAAACGACACAAACGCATATCCCTTACTCTTAAGTGTCTGTGGATCCCGTACAATACGACAATTACTTATCTCTCCAAAGGGTGCAAATGCCTCCCTCAGTGTTTGTGTCTCAATTTCAGGTGACAAATCACCCACAAATATGTGATGATGATTGCTTGTGTCAAGTTTTGGCTGATTACCGGGACTAGTTGCCCAGTTAACCTTCATCTCTTTATCGAGAAATTGTCTCTTATTCATGGCGGCGAGTGCCGTTGCTGCACACTGATGACTTTTAAATTCAAGGAAGGCATATGGATCATTACCAGGCTCACGTATTATTTTACATCCCTGGATAGCACCTATTTGTGAAAATAGAGTGCACAATAACTCCTCGTGCACTGATATATCTAGATTACCCACATAGAGGGTACGGGGAGAACTCTCTTCGCTCATTTTTTTTTTTCACCTTTTTCTCTCACACGATTACTCAACGGCTTTAACTCAACAAAATAATACAACCCGTTTGACCCGTTGTTTTTCACCTTCCACTCACCTCTCCCACCTCAGTACAATCACTGAACTCTTGGATACTTCCTATCACTGTCGCACAACACAAAATGGAGTTTTAGAATTTAGTCAGGAAACTTTTTTTCGCAATTTCCAGCGCCCGTCTCGCGTGTCCCCTCGGCTCCTTTTTTCTTCACACGCACTGTCTTTCTCTCTCTCTCTCTCTCTCTCTCTCTCTCTCTCTCTCTCTCTCTCTAGGGCTCACTCACTCTCCCCCCACCCCGGTTAAGCTCAACTCCGTGAGGTTATTTGATGACTCGAGGGAAATTTTTATGGGTTATACTCGAAATTTTTACCAACGCCCGTCATTTAGAGATTATTTTCACCTTATTTTGAGGATATTTGGGGCCTCTTTTCGGGGTCAATCGACACTGATTGCTACGGGGTAATGGCGGTTGGTTAGAGGAACGAATGGAATTATTGTGGAATTGGGGTACACACACCCAATGGGGGCTACGTCATTACTCAAGTTAAACGTAAAATGGCGGATTTTGTTGGGGGCATGGCGCTAACTCGGTTACAACTGCCAACTTCCAGGGCTCTTGTTTTTTCGGGGATGAAAATTCGGGGGAATTTTTTGATTACGCGGGTGAATTGATTTTTTGAGAGGGTGAGAGGAAGCGATATAATTTTTTGGGGTTTTTTAAATGCGGACGACCGGCTTTCGGGGCTGTCCTTTCTTTTGAACACACGTGTCTTTCCGGAGTAGGCAGGGAAGGTTTTGGCAATGTTGAGGGGGTGAAATTCCCCAGGATTTTATTTTTTTCAGGGGTTTAATTTTTTCACGGGTTTATTGGGGCTTTCGTGCAGTTTGGGGCGTTATTCGAGAGGATTTGGGGGTGTTTTTTTGATTTTTTTTAGTTAATTTATCGGGTTTTTAAATGCCCCAAAAATGGTATATTCAAGTACATATCATTTTCGCGGGAAAACACGCTTTTCACTGGGAAAACATACGTGCGCACGCGCGTTGTCGTGATGCTTGCGACCCTTGTGTGATGCAGTTGTGAACGGATCCTGTGACCCTCGTGACCCTTGTGACAGCATCTTTATACACCATTCGTCGGTAAAACAAATGTTTCAAATAATTTTAATAAAATGATGTCTATGAGGATTATAATATTATAATATTACATATCCTCAATGTTAAACATAAACTGTAAAAAAAAAAGTGATGAGTGCACATATCTGATGGATTTTTCACGAATAACGAGCAAAAAAAGGAATTTTTAAGGAAAAGAGATCGTCTTGAGCCCTGTTTTACCTCGTGGAGAAATTTAGTTGAATTCTGAGACAACAGATGGATCGCAAGGTCAAAATTAATACTCCGAAAGTGCATAATTCCGTAAACATTGGGTGAAAAATATTATCGGAGCAGTGAGAAGAATTAATTACTCGGAAATTGACATTTTCTCATGATTTTTGGGAATATGTAGCAAGGAGAGAGACTGAAGAGATTTTACATTTTCTGAAAACCCAACGACTGCTGATTTCTAGTTTAATTCAGCTATTGTTGCTTTGACGTTTCTTAGAGAAATAAGATAATAAAGAAAATGCTGTCACGCAAGAATAAAGACTTGAGGACGATAAAAGAGGGTGTAGTTGGGAAGTACGTGAAGAAAGAAACCCCACCGGAAATACCAAGTGAGTGATAAATATCTCTCGAAGAAAATTCATCGAGAATTTCATGCTTTATTCCCGGAAATGTCGCATATGTTTTTCAGTTATTAATGTCTGGACGACTGAGCCCAATAGGCACAAGAGGAGGAGAAATAATCAGGCGACAATGCCACCCCAAATGGTAAATTTTTTCTTCTTCCAAGAAGTTGAAAAAAATCCTGCTTCCCTTCATTAAATTTTTCCCCTTTTTAGCCTTCACCACAACAGCCAAGTATGGTCCAAAAATTTGGTAATACCAAGACAACAATGAGTGCAGTTGGATTGGGAAGTCATGAAGGGAAATATACTCCGAATAGTTCAGTTCCCGATTTAGCTCAGAGGTGATTTTTTCAGTTTTTTCCATCCACTTCGTCCATTTATTTTTCATTTTTTAAAAAAAACCTGAAATTATTCAATATATTTCAATTCTTTCTGGAGTCCTTTGATAGAACTCCATCGATGAATAACAGAGGAACGTTCTTCCATCCCTAAATTAACTAGATTGAATTGATAATTATCCATTATTCATAAAATAACTTAATTCTACTTTTCCCCTGCTTTAATTATCCATTAATTCATTAATTTGTTGGTTTAAAAACCTTAAAAGGACAGTTCAGAGGTCGATTTCTCAAATTCTTCTGCAATTTTTCAATTATTTATTCATTTTCTCCTCAATTGTTTTCACAAGGAACATAATTGCTAAAATCTGCAGATTCGCAAGTTTATCAATGGCTCCAGGAGTCTCGGAAGCCTTATCCTCCCGCACAGTGACCCCCCTGTATCACCCAGGGCTGTCCCCAGCGGTATCCCACACCTATGTGAATCAATACGCGGGTTCAGAGTACCATCTGGACCGCGTGCAAACCCCCCAGATGCCCTACGTGCCTTTCGAAACCGACAACGGTTACGAGGACTTCAATCAGGTGTCCTTCAGGCACCCCCAGTACAGCAGATCCCAGTCTGAGAGATCCAGTTCACGCAGTGAGCAGCCCACAGAGCTGCCACTCCCTCCAGGCTGGTCTGTGGATTTCACATTGAGAGGGAGAAAGTACTACATCGATCACAATACCAAGACCACCCATTGGTCCCATCCACTGGAGAAAGAGGGGCTACCCACTGGGTGGGAGAGGATTGAATCCCCTGAATATGGAGTTTATTATGTGAAGTATGTGAAGAATGCATTTGTCAGTTCATTAATTTTTTTTCTAACAGAATTTAATTTCTTTCTTTTTTTTGTTAAAGTTAATTCTCCTCAATTTTCTGTGAAGAATTGAAAAATGAATTGAAGAGGATTTGATTGTGCAGAAAATACGGAAAAGCCTTTTTTTTCTGAGGAAAAAATAATTAGATTTTTCCACTGCAAAAATGCAGAAGGAAATTCTATCTAATTTCTGTAAAGAATTAAATTCTTGCATTTATCAGTTCATCAATTTTTTCCAACTGAATTTCATTTCTTTATTTTTTTATCAAATTCAATTCTCTTCAATTTTCAGTAGATAATTAAAAAATGAATTGAAGACCATTTAATTGTTTAGAAAAAATGTTGTTTTTTATTCTGGGGATTAGAAAAAAATTAAATTTTTTCTCTGCAAAAATTCAGAAGGAAATTCTCTCTAATTTCTGTGAAGAATTAAATTCTTGACTGAAAATGCATCTTAACCCACTCTTTCTTAATCTAATTAAGAAATGACATGAATTCTTACGTTTTTCCACTCGAAATTGCAAGAATTTTTGTCCTCAAACAATGACATCGTCATCTTTCAGTCACATAACAAGACAAGCTCAGTACGAGCACCCCTGCTACCCCTTGGAGATGCAGGCAGTGCGTGTGGTGTCACCCCCTCGACACACTCACTTCCACTCGCACAGTGTCCTGGTCCCAGCGAATCCCTACCTGAACGAGGAAATACCCCACTGGCTCTACGTCTACAGCAGAGCATCGGTGGCCCTCGACCGAAAGCTCCGTTGGGAGTTGTTTCGTTTGCCAGAGCTGGACTGCTTCAACGCAATGCTCACGAGGCTCTACAAACAGGAGCTCGAGGAGGTCGTCATGCGATACGAGGAGTACAGGTAACACTCCTTCACCAAAGGATCCACTGCCAAGGAAGATTACTAATGATTATCGATGGTTTAGGTCTGCTCTTCTTTGTGAAATGGAACAGAGACTGAAGGAATTGAACCCCGAGAGTGGATCGTCGGCTGGAGCTGTTGCTCTTCGTCGATCTTTACCGTGAAAATCAATTTTCAAAACAACGAGAATGAAGATATATTTTTGTAAAGTATATTTACAATCGTTGAGACACTCTGAAGTATTACAAATAAATAAATTTTATCAATGGTGGAGTAACTCTTCAGTACTGGTAACAGCGGGGGTACTGTCGCTGATGTCTTCCAACAGTTCGTCTGGTTTTGGCTGCAATTTTGGAATTTCTTTAATCTGAAAAACAAAATTAATTGAAAATAATTCATTTTTATTAATTTTTTAAAATAAACAAGACCATTTGCTCAATTAATTGACAGTCGACTTGTCAATTTTTAATTAGTGATTGCACTAACATTGTGCTGTTTAAATAAATTACTAATTAATAATTAACTCGTCAAACGACATTTTTATGAAGTATTGAAAAATTTAATTTTTTACATCTTGTTAATTATCAATTATCTCGATAACGATTCATCCTGCGAAAAAATGTTATAATACATTTCTGTAGGAAATTTAATTCTCTGCAAAATAAGTCTTATGACATTTTCTCCTAAACCCCTTCGTTATCCGGATAAATAGTTGTAAACAAAGTAAAATACAATGAAAAACCAGTAATTACTTCGTAACTGTCAACAACTGTAAATCCATGGATTTTATAAACAGAGATATCGTCTCCCTGCCAAATCCTGGCATAGTACCTCCCTGTGACAGAAAAATTGCAATGAATCAGGCCCTCTTCAACCCTCACACAATTTCAGTAGCGAAGTGGTAAAACGGTTTAAGTCAATTTTGACAATTGGCCAGTTTTCAATGAATATCTCGGAATCTAAGGGAGATAGCGAAAATTTCGTAATTGCATTTGTTGTAGGTCTCAATCGGCTCTATAAAAAAGCTTATAACAACAATTTTGCTATCTCCCTTAGATCCCGAGATATTCCTCAAAAACTCAACTGGAAAATGAGTCGACTTAAACCGTTTTACTATTTCGCTACTGATTTAATCTATCCACCTGGTTGTTTTTTCTCTTTCCCAGTCATGGGATAGTATTGATAAAGCAATATCCCACAGAACAGTCCCAATGCATTGTACGCAGCAAAGGCATAAACTGCACTTAAATTATGCCTCATGTCGGCGGCGTAACCCCTGGGTACGGGGTTCGTCCTCGCCCTGACGAACTGCCTCCACCACCTCTTCATCTTTCAATTTTTTATTGATAATCAACCACCTAACCACAACAAACGCATATACTCCGAGGATGATATCCCATGAAGACCTTTCACAAATACCGCGACGGCATTTCGAGTAGAAAGTACAGTTTCCAGAATTTTTTAAAACATTCTATCGATAATTAATTCACAAATCAACACGAAAAAACTGGAGATAATTACGAAATCATCGGAGAAACTCGTTTATCTCTCCCACGAGTATTTCCCAATGTTGCCAAGTCTCCTAAACATTTTTTCTGCATCAGACACATTCCCTCATACTCAATCCTCAATAACTCGAGATCGGTGGAGTGAAGATTGACGACTTTTTTTTCACTCTAAAGATATTTTTTCTGGCTTCAAAATGAGCCCATACCCGTCCAATCCGCGTCACTGGCTCCGGAAATATCGACGATTAACCGAAAGATAATTTTACCTCACCCTCCCAGAGGAGGATAAATCGCGCCGTATTTAATCGTCAATATCTCGAGATCGGCAGAGTGAAATTCATCATTCTTTTTTTCATTTTGAAGGTATTTCTTCAGGCTTGAAAATGAGCTCTGACTCGTGCAAATCGCATCGTTTAGTCCGAAGATATTGAGGATTTAATGGACCACGTTTAATGAACGGGTTTTTTTTTTGATTGGATTCTGATGCTCAGGAACGTAAAAATACTGGGCAAAAATCACTGAATTTTTTTTCCATAATCCCGCATGATTTTAATTCCCCGTTAAGCTCTCATCAGTTCGATAAGGGCATCGTGAAGGAATCCCCGCGGACGTGGAGAAGATCGCGAATGTAATTTATCGAATAATAATTTTTTCAACCTCTTTCGCTCATTAATTGGGGGGTAATTACTCGGAGCCGATTGTTACGGCATTGAATACTCCGTAAGTAGTTGGGGATTGGCCGAAATGGTCCCAGCAACATATAACCCGATTGGGGTGGGGGTAGGGGACGTCTGGGCAATCGAATAAAAGGTGGAAGGAGTGATTTCGCGCGTTGACCGGGTTCCAACAAAAAAAAAAAAAGTTGAAAAAAATAAGACATTTGCGGGATTTTTGTCAGTGAGAAATAGTGGGTTTTGTTGGTGTTCGAGTGGTTCTTCCGTCCAATATTTTAGGTTCACGGTGCGACATGTCCGTGATGGGCAAGGTGAGTTTTATACGAGGGGTTGGATTCGAGTTTTTTCGGGGGTTGTATGGCCGCCTGCCCGGCTGCAATATTTTTCGCGAATTTTTTTTATCAGCGGAAGGGGGGAACCATTTGTTTTGAATTTTTCTTGGGGTTTCTCGGGGTTCTTTTGACGTTTCGGAGGGGAGAACTGGTTTTTTTATTATTGTTATCGAGTCCTTGGGACCGCAATTCACGGTAAACAATGATTAATCGGAGGGGAAGTGATTGCTGAAGTGGGCAGTGGAAATTTCCGAAGATTTTATATTGAGTAGGAGATTTTTTTTTGGGTTTTGCGATGAGATTCTGGAATTTACGTCTGGGTAATTGAGGGCTTTTTGGATTTTCAGCCGGTTTTGTACTCTTACTGGAGGAGTTCCTGTTCCTGGAGGGTGCGGATTGGTAAATAAATCATCAGCAAATGAATTGAGTTGTGGACAGGCATATTATTTTTGAATCCCATTTTTTGTTGAATTCCTGGGCATCTCGAGAAGATTTGATTTTCATTTTTTCTCCATTTCTGATAGATTCCAAAATACTCGATCTTCATTCACCTCAGGAATTTCTTTGTAGCTCTCAGAATTCTCTCCGGCAAAAATTGTCTCACGACAATTATTCCATCTGGCATGGACTTCTAAATATTTAATTCGACAAATATTAATATGAATACTATCAATATTAATATGAATTACAATTCAACTTTCATCAGATTTTTAATCCATTGGAAACAAAATTCTACTGAAGAATTTCTTTCTGTTGCCTCAACAAAAAAATTGCCTCCACAAAATCAATCCCATTTACAATGCATTCCAGTGCCTTCATAAACCCCCAAACCCTTTATTTCAGCTTTAAATCTGAAAGAAATCCCGTACGACATAAAGCCCGTGAGTCTAGTAAAATCAGGTGGTGAGCAGCACTGCAATGAATACCGCGAGGTAAATCCAATGGAGCAGGTGCCAGCGCTGCACATCGACAATCACACGTTGATCGAGTCCCTGAACATAATGCAGTACCTCGATGAGACGAGGCCCCACCGGCCCCTCCTCCCCGCTGACCCTGTGAAGCGTGCACGAGTGAGGGAAATCTGCGAGGTGATATCGAGTGGTATTCAGCCCCTCCAGAACCTGGTGGTCCTCATCTACGTCGGTGAGGAGCGCAAGAAGGAGTGGGCGCAGCACTGGATCACCAGGGGCTTCACAGCTGTTGAGAAATTGTTGTCGTCGAGCGCTGGAAAGTACTGCGTTGGAGATGATATCACCATTGCCGACTGCTGCCTAGTCCCCCAGATATTCAATGCCCGGAGGTTTCACGTGGACCTCCGACCTTTCCCCACAATTCTCAGGGTCGATCGTCATCTCGAGAATCATCCGGCATTCACTGCTGCACACCCCAATAATCAGCCCGACTGTCCCCCTGAGGCCACCAAGTAGCAAGCAAGGCAGACCACTCTCTTCCTGTTCTAAAGGTTTTCGTAACTTTGGTCAGTGGAGGTGAGTGGTCGGTGGTGATCGTCGGGAGATGGAAAATTGAGGGGGAATATCTGGTTTTTAGAGTTGGGAAAAACCCTAAAGTTAACGGTTATTGAGTCAATGAGATTATTTTATGGTGGTTCACAGGAGAAATTGCTTCATTTGAACATATGAAATCTCTAAAAAATTATGGATTTGATTAATTTTAAAGAATTTATTTTTTCAGATCAGTATGAATACTGGTTTTAGGAAATGATATCTCTTTTTTTCTGGGGAAATAAAATCGCCATTTACTCATTGCTCAAAGAATACGCAATTCTTCCGAATTTCCAATCTGTCCAAAGGGAAAAAAGTGCAGTTGAACCAAAAAATCAGAGACAACATTTTTTTTACTACTGAAAAATTTCTTTTTACATGAGGGCTAATTTTGAGAGCAAATATTGAGAAATATCTCCTCTCAAGTCACTCGTTCTCTCAATAAATAAGCCATTCCCAAGAATTTATAATTGAAAAAGAAATACAATTTCAAAAAAGAATCAATTTCTAAAAATTTATAATTTCTCAAAAAAAAAATTGACTCAAATAAATTGAATATTTCCCTCTAATTTTCACTTCAATCAACGATCGAGCTCAAAACAATTGAAATAATCACCCGAGCAAACCCTCGAGTGATAATTCCAATTGTTTAAGCTGGCATTCAAGTGATAGAAATGTTGGCCTATTTTCTTATTTCTTCATTCACCAGTCTTACCTCCTTTATTTCACTCCAGCAGAGAAATTTTTGTGTAAACAAATGAACATATTTTTTTAATATTTACCGTGCTACCTATTTGACATAGGGTCTGTTGCCAGAAGTCTAAAGTTTAGTTTTTTATGGGATATTATTTTTTTTAGATTATTTTAATTGTTTTTGCTCGAATGAATTCTTCATTATTTGATTATTTAACAAGAATTAATTGATGCAAGCTGCTCAAACCATGCCTCAGGGCTCTTGGGGGATGGGAAAGTACAAAGATCTTCCTTAATTTCCAGTCTTCAAGGCAAAAAAACGCCAGTTGAATTTTATATTCATTTCTTTTCTCATTTTTTGAATTCAATTATATAAATTTACAATTATCTTAGCGTAACTGCCAGTCGTCAGACAAAAACATCTCCCATTAATTGCACGAATGAGATTATTTTCCGTCATTAGGTGAAGAAATCAGCACGATTAATTACGAATATTTCTTGATTTCTCTGAATAATCGGAACGTACAAATGCACTTGCGTTTATAACTGTAAATAACAAAGAATAAAACAAAATAACCGCAGAACTGATCAAATTCGGTGTCGAAAATAAACAGAAATGATAATAATTGAATATTGGATCAATGACTAGCATTCCCTACGCGATGATTTATCCATTAATTATCCTTTCGGTCGTATAAAATAGAGTAACAATTAGATACCAAGGGATTCGTAAAAGAAGAAAAAATGGATTATTTTCATTGTACGTGCTCGGGCTAGAGTCTATTAGGAGCAATAAACTCGTGAATCGTAGGAGTAATTTCCAAGAGTGTGTATGACGATAAAAAAAATGATCTTGAGCCTGTAAAAATATATGAATAAGTAAACAATAGGAATTCACGATATTGAATAAGGAAATGAATATTTTGTAAGTGAAAAAAAAAAGTGTAACTTGATGCTTATAGAGGAGGAAACAATAAATTCTGTGTCATAGAAATTAAATATCTTTTATTTGGCTCAACAAATGAATTAACTTACCTTCATTCTCCTAATATTTATCAATTTCAGAGCTGAGTGGACATGATTTTGTTTCCAAATCTGTCAGCACAGACTCGACATATTTTTTTTCAATAATGTATTTTTATTTTTTTCATATTTTTTTTTGTTTTCATAAAAAAATACATTCACTTAACTATTGACTAGTTCCGTTTGTCATCTCATAATTATTATTTTTTAAATTTAGTCTAGACTCTTCAATGGAATGCTCTAATTATTCGTTCTATCACTGGAAAATCTGGTGGGCGAAATATTTGAACAATGCAGATTCGTATATTTACAGTTCAAAGATATGTCGTTATAACTCGTGACAATTATTTATCTACAAATACAATGATAAGTTCGGTTTTATCAATTATTCTTTGATTAATTGCCATTAAATCTGGAACTTACGCAGTAATTTGTCATCAGTTACAATACATTTTGTACATTTCAATATTATTTTTGTACAATCAAACATCAGGAAGATGAACATAATAAACTGATCAGTGAAATGAAAAATTAATTACAAATGTCCCTGAAAAGCTTCCTGACTTTGATTCAATAACATTAGGATTTAAAAATTTTGCAAGAGAATGAAACAAGAAGACGAACTTCACTCAACAAAATTATTACAGCACAGTACATCGAAATAACGTCATCCTCTCATTGCATTCCCCCGGACAATTACAAAAATCAATAGCCCTTAATACTTAAAATCCTACAAAATATTCAACAACATTATTCCTAACACGTCCTCAGTAGAAAAAAAAACGTAAAAAAATGTCTGAAACGTTGATAGAGAGTTGAAGTTGGTGAAGAAGACGATTGAATAAAAAAAAACATGAAAAAATACGATTGATGATGTCATTCGGACCTAAAACGTTGATAAATGGAATAAAAAACATGGAGATAAAGATGGTGGCTGGGTAACTGGGTAATTGGTGAAATGAATAACAACAGAATGCATTTAATGAGCGATTGTTTATTATGCTCTTATGATCACTTGTCATACAGGTAACGATGCTTTTTGTTTTTCTTTAAATCTTTCTTTCTTTTTCATGAATGAAAATAGTTAATATATTATACTTTTTATTTTATAATTATTTAACATTGAATGAGAAAAAAAAAGAAGACGAGAGAAAAGGAAAAAAAGTAAATAAATGATGATACGTAATAACAATTCGTGTTGGATGCAAATAAATGTGTTAGAATGTAAGAATAATATTAGATTTCATTACTCGTTTTTTATCATTTTTTTTTGTTCAATAGTAACTAATTTTACAATCTAAACTCTTCTTTATAACAATTATCACCCCCAAGAGAAGATGTGGGCGCACGTAAGATGTTACAATGGTCTTGATAAAATAAATGGGGAAGTAATGGGAAATAAGCGGGTGCGTTTTGTTGGCTTTTTTAAATAAATTATCAAATTGTGATGGACAATTGAAATAAGGAGACAGTGAAATAATAATATCGTACCTGTATCGATCCTTAATTGCCGAAATAATTAACACCGAATGAACTCTCCTTATTTCAATCTACCATAGAAAAATTTTCAGTCGTGAATAAATAAAAGATTGTGATGTCTTAAACCCTTAATTTGTTTATTCAACTGATGTGTTAACTTTTATCTATGCACGACGTGACGATCTGACATGGATGATTGAAGAAAATAATAATAAAATAATTACAACGATGCACTTTTGCGATAAAAATGCGATTCAATATTTTGTTTCTCGTATCTCTACAATGATGATTATATCGAACCACTTGATTTTAATTATCATTTTCACCTCTTGCGAAGCATTTGTCTGGGTATTACAAGCGATAACATTTTTTTTAACACACGATTTCAAGTTAATCGAATGCAGAGGGGAAAAAACATGTGGACATTTATCGTAACGTTTTTGTTTATATCTATTGAAACCTTTCGACGGAATTTCATTTTGCGGATATTTCATTTCATGAGAGATTCTCGTAACACTGGCATTTATCATTTGTGCTTAACACTTCTCTATTTAATGCTAGAAAAAATGAAGGTTGTCGATGAAGGGTTCAAGAGCTATACATTTCCTACTCTTCGATCTAGTCCCAAAAACAAAACGACTGATGATTTTTCATAGGGATGAAATTCATGAAATTTAATTGAAATAAAAAAAAAATGGATTAATATCATTGAAATAACGTGAATTTTTTATTCGTTTTAGTGATACCGGGGAGTGGCGTGAGGCGAACGATACCGATAGAATCGTGACACACAAGTGAGTGCATTATTAATTTGTTTTTTTCTCATACTCTTTAAAATCGTTTTTTTTTTCATCCTGTTGCCTTAAATTACGGTTATAGCCAAAGGAATGTAAGGTACAATACTCGCATTCGTGACGAATGATTCCCTGGTTGGATGGCAGCCAGCTGCTCAATTTCGATATATCGTTATTATTTTCTCTATTTATAATTTAAAAAACCCTCGGGAGCATTCTGAAGATCAAAAAAACGAAAGAGGAGAAGGAAAAAAAAACATGAAAAGCACAGGGTCTTTAGTATTCTCTCAGCAATCTGTTCTGTATCGTTCCTTATTTAATGAACATTTTAATATATGTATTATCTCTGCGCGAGGTTCAACGTGCTCACACGTTATGTTTTTTCAACTCAATAATTCATCTTGTGTTTAGCCATTTATCTGTTTCCACTAAAACGCTATTTATGCATATACTTATACTCAACAAGGTACTTTTAATATTCCTTCATTTTTTTTAAATATTTAATATCTGTTTTATCCCCGAGCTGCTACTGCTACTTGTCTACCTCAACAACAACGATTTCATCCGGATTTATATATTGCATAATTCTTTTTATCATTATTTTTAAAATCCCCTTCACATCTCCACCTCAAAGCCCTCGATAAATCCTTACCCCCAAAATAACAACCTAAATACTCTATCTAAATCGACTTCCAAATGGATTTAACATTCGTACAATTTCTGTACAACCCTTCTCGCCGTACTTTTACACTTTGCATTCTTGATTTTATGAGGTCCTGATTACACTTCCCTTTGGACGTTATTAATTTATAATTTTCATTAACGCGAGTGATGTTGAATCTTATCAATTAGAGTGATGTCAATTTTAGGCGTAATTAATGCAAATTTTATATGAAAAAAAAATGTCTTTTCATCGAATCAATTGAATTATTAGTTTGTTTTAAATGATAAATAATTGTTGCTATTGTCAATCCGTGCGAGTATAATTTATACTTTTTGTGACACTTGTGATTGTTATGACAATGAAGTCATTAATTTAATCATGATTATGTGGGAGTTAACGGTGTAATGGAGGATTTACTCATGATTTTGAAATAGTGGACGTTGTTTGTTGAATTCTAATGAATTTAGCACCATTATCTAATAATCAAAACGAGGTGAACGTAATTTATCTATTTTCTCGAAATAAATAACTCATGATTTCAACAATGAAGTGGAATAAACTTTAACAATAACGTCACGTACATCAGTGATAATGGGAAGGGGAGAGGAAATAGTGTTTGAGTGCACAATTTTATGGCACAGTAATTTTAAATGGAGCATGACATGTTATTATTAATTACAAGCTATTATTTCTCTGTTTTTTTTTTCATTAATAATTCCTTTTTAACGTCAATTAAATAAGCATTTGAGCCACAATCGTTCGACAATTGTGGTATATATTCTTCTCATGATCTGTTATATGCATGTATATATATATATATCTATATATCTTTCTCTTTTCTATTGCAATCTATTATCATATTTCCCCTCAAATTCAATCGGCAACACTAGATTGAAAATGATTCAATGAATTCATGATGTAGCCTAGCAACACACAGCCAAGTTACGTGACCGAGTCACGCGTAATGGTAATTGCAATGAGGAAAAAAAAGCCCATTAAAAACCCCTAATGACAACGAATAACCAATGATACCAACGAAACAAGGAGAATTCGAGTGAAATGTCAATTGGCAAGTTTTTAGTCTCTTTTTTTTCCTCACTGCAGATGTTGAAAATTGATCGTTCCTTATCACGACATTTTTATACATAAACTAGTGCATCTTCCATGAGAACTCGAGGCGAATAACCAATTCCTACACACCTGTCCCTGTCTAATCACTCCCCAACGTGTCTCTAATGATTCAATTATCAATTACGTCATTTAAAATTATCAATTTAACAATTAATGTTCCCTAAATCGTCACCTCTAATCCAACATTTATAATGATGAGTTGATGAATAAATCGAGAGGAGAATTTATGCCACTACGTGTCCAATAATGATGAATGAACGGAGAAAAAAAGAAAAATATTTGACAGAATGAAACGACAAATTAATGGAAATTGTAAAAAAAAAAAATAGGCGAATTGCACGTTTGTAATCGATGAATTATCTCATGCCACTTGTTATGTATACATATATACATACACAAACAGTGTATGAATCTTCATATATTATAGATGAACATACATATCTTCTCTCTATAATTTATATTAATGAATATGAATATATTAATAAACCTTCGACACTTGAACGAATAGTAATTGAACGCGAATTTTCCTAATATACTTTGTATACGTTTAATATTTAATATATTTTGGCTAGTTTACATATATTAACATAATCATTATATATTCTTCATTTTCCATATATATTCTGTGGAAATAATCGCGTTCAATCGATCAATTAATGGCGTCTCTACAACTCTCGTTATGTTAATATTTTAATCTTTTAAACATTCAACAACTCGTAAGTAGCATAATTCACCAATAATGCTACATCACTCAAGTGTTTTACTCTATACGTATTATCTACCGTTCTCTCTCACGTTTGTAACGAGGTTAGTCGTTGAAAAAGGCTCATTTTGATTACAATTGGTAGAAATATTCAGGGCTTCATCAGGTTTTTATCCAAAAGAGAATCACCAAAGAGACATGCACAGACAGGCAAATGAATTTTAATGACTTTTTTTTCTTCTTTTAAAGCCATCAGATATTCTCGGGGTTTTTTTTCCCTTCGTCTCTCTCTTTCTCTCTCTTGTGCACGACATTTAGGACATTTATTGGTGTCAATGAAGCTACTTCACGTTCGCCATTTTGTTATTCATCACTCTCTTCAATTCTAAACTCCAATGGTTGAATATATTTCTCACACGACATTTTTAATGCTCATTTTTTTTTTCTTTCTTCAGCTATTTGTGGGAATTTATGTCTGTAAACACATCTCTTTGACGCTTACCTATTGAATTATGTTCAAGGAGACTCTGTTTAAAGAAGGAAAACCAGCTTCTCGGCATTCTCGGTTGGCGAACTCACGAGCCACGATTAAACGTGTTCAGTGTGTGTGTGTAATTATTCAACCATTATTGTTCAAACTGTGAATACTGTCAGGTACGCAGTAGAAAGCTCCATTTCCGAATCGTCCTTGCTCGTCGTACATTGCCTTGCCGTGAAGCTATTTTTCCTGCGCAAAACAAATTTGTCTACATTTTTCACACGACTATAAACAAATATTCTTTCAATGAATTCAAGACAATTTTTTTTTGTTTCCCTTTAAAAAAGTTCTATTTTCATTGATTAAACTACTTTCTCTTCGTACTTGACTGAAATACTTTAATCAATTTAAAAATGTTAAATAAAAAACGTCATATTTAATCAACAAATATCTTCAAAACACTAAAACCAAAGGCTACCTACGAGTTGTTAAATTTCATTTTGTTTAGTTAAATAAAAAATCAAGACTGCAAACGATTAAAGTTTCACTCCTAGTTTTTCACGAGTCAATGCATTCCCTTGATCAAATTTCACGCAAACAAAAAAATTATGAAAAACAGGATGATTTTTTATGGTAATCGCTAATTCATTTAAGACTCAGCAGTTGATAAGTGGATGATGCCAATATCTGTCTAGTGATTGATGAACCTCAGGTAACCCAAGTGTTTTTTTTTTATTCAAATTCATACCCTAAATCTAGTGTGATGATGCCCTTCGTACTTAATAATCAGATAAAAACGACTCGATTCTCAATCTCGAGGTGAATGTTCATAAAAAAATTATGATTATCTACAATTTGAATAATTACATCCATAAAATTGATTTGTTAATAAAACTCTAACAACGGGGGGGAAATAACGATTTCCCCACTTGGCTGGAGAAAAAAATCTAAAAAACCCTCAGTGATGGTAGACAATAAAAAAGAAACGAAATTGGTAACGATACAATTAAAACATGAATCATACTCTAAATCCGGGACGCAAGTATCAATAATGTCAGTAATCTTACCCTCGTGTCAACAATAATCTAATGAAACCTCATTATTCATTCTAATATAATTCTTTCTTCATTCCCTCCATATATCGTTTAATATTTCATATTTATAAATATACAAGTTCATTTGTTATTCATATTCGTTTTAAATTCATAATCATTTTTATATATATATTTTTTTGATGGAAATACGGTGAGCCAGCGCCTTTAGAACTCTTCGATAAATTGTACAGTGTCTGCATTTATATTTCTTTAAACTCTCATTGCCCTTCAGCATCGAAATTTTTCTGTGATTGAGTGATTAAAAACGATTTTTCATCTCCAAATAACATATCCCTCAATTACAGAAACACTTTAAATAACGGAATATTCTCATAAAACCCACGAACATCCACTCGATCCACAAGTGAATCTGAGGACTCTGGGCTCCACATCACATATCCCCTAGAGAAAAATTCTAATTCCTCGCACATCGTCTCCCCTCCCGTCCCCCTAAACTCGTTTTTTCATCTGAATAAAAAAATATTTCATCAGCCTGGAAATCTGGGAAACTCTCACTCGCCTAAATGACTTAAATCTGACGATTATTCTTCCTCCCAACGATTCAATAATTTTAATCTAGTGTGTCTGTATCAACTGGAATTCAAACACAAGAATCTGAAGAGTGAAAATAGCTCTCTCAAGTTTGTGCTTCGATCGAAGAAATGACTGGACTGAATGAGTGATTGAACCCGAAGAAATAGAGGGAAAAAAAATATATATGTATGAGGCATGAGAATCATGAATGGGGCAGGGCCAGCCAGCCTCTCGATAATAATATTTAAAAAAACCGTACGAAAGGAATAATCTGGTCAAAGTATCTTTGGTATTGAAAACCTCTGGCAGAAGAAGATAAATCTCTTAATAATTATAAATAAAATCTGTCCAACCATTCTCCGTCTTCACGAGCACAAAATTCATCATCGAAATAGACTCTTGTGTTATTTTGTTCGTTAAAGGTGTGATAAAGCCCCGCAATGTGGTGTATCACAGAACAATCGTATAGTAATCCTCATCAACGTATATATGCATGTTTAATATAATATATTAAGAATCTTAAAGTTTATAATTAAAGTGGCGATTCAATGGGTGATGTGGGCAATGCAACAAGCGCCTAGATGTGACTCAATTCATGAAAGAAATTCTCTGAGAGTATGTGAAGGAAAACGAGAAACTAAATGTTCACGTGTTAAATTATTGAATGGAAAATCCTCAAAACATGTATTGAAAATATTATTCTGGTGAATATATTCCATTCTTTTTGCAAGTGTTTTAATGTGAGAGAGAAAGAGCAAAGAAAAATTTATAAAATTTATCCCCAGGGATTTGTCAATTTCAATGATAAAATTTAGGTTTTCCATTCAATATATCAACACATCTAATTCCTCAGTAATCCAGTGGAATATGTGGATAAAATCCCTCCGTAAATATCTCAAATAAACTCATGATATATTTTATGATAAATATTGGAATCAATGTATCATGCCAGCAATGGCATTGTGACGCGCACGCTTGGCCTCCTCCTCGCTGATTCGCTGTTCAATGAGATATTGGGCTGTACCAATGGCATTAGGAAATCCAGTAATAGTGACAATACGATTTCTCGTACCAGGTGCAAACATTCCCTTTTTAGATATTTGTATATTAGCACCACTTAAGTGCTGAATCTCAATGAGTGAACGACCACCGGGTCCAAGTATAGCACCAACAATAACCTCAGCAATTTCTATATCTACTTTCTTGGTTTCCTTGCTGTTGATCTCGATTGTATTAGGGCTCTTACTTACGAGTGACAATTGATTTGTTCCAAGTCCAAATGAATTGTTGTTGAGATGTATTGCTGATACAGCTGTTGAATTTTGCCTGAATGCATCGAAGGGCTCGTATCTGTCGAGTGTGTTGCGAGGTGTTGGCGATGTTGATCCCATTGTTGGTACTGTACCAATTGGACCGAAAACACCACCATTGTTGTTGGAGCCATTTGCTGATGTGGTGCTGTCGATGGGATTGCCAAGGTATGACACACTCGAGGGCACACCTATGCCCATTCCCAGGATGTTGTACTTGGCGAGGGTGGCAGCTGCTGTGAGAATCTCGGTGGCTGCTGCCTCGGAGAAACCAGTGGTACGAAGGTGGAGTTTCAGGTGCTCCAGCAGCTGAGTTGTCACTGGGGCTGTGCCGGTCGTTATTGCTGCACCCAGGTTCAGGTTTAGACTGAGGCCTGCACCGTTCAGCAGAGATACTGGAAAATATTAATCATTTTTTTCATTTATTCATCTATTAATGAGTCACTTAAAGTCAATGAGTTGACGATTGTCAATGGATTTAGCTAAATTGACTCAAGTATAGATTACTTGTGAATTTAACTGTCCCTTCACCATCGTCTGATGAATAGAAAATAGAGAATTAATTGATTTATACCGGTGTTGAGACCAGCTGGTGACGTATAGGTTGGTGTTGTAGCTGGTGCCTGTGCATAGGGGCTCCCCGTTGGATTGTAATTGGCCACTGGACCACTGACATCAGCATAACTGACGTTGAGACAAGTACCACTCTGTGGATCGTCAGCAATCTTGGCTAGGATCATGAGAAGTGCATTGCGATTGTTCTCCTTCTCTCCAATGACGGTGATACAGCGCTCCTGGAGCGACAGATCCTTGGCCTTTTGGCTTATTTGTACGTACGACCCAGACTCCTCTTTAATCTGCTTTATGTAGTTCCCTGCCTTGCCTATGATCATGCCAGCGGTGCTGTTGGGCACCAGAATCTTCACCTGAAGGAAAAAATTAACAAGTTGTGAACAAAAAAATCCCAAGGGATCATCGATTCTAATCGATGAATTGAGGCTTGACGATGGAAATGATCGAGATCTTTAATCACCTGCTTGTCTCTCTCGGCTGTTGCCTTGCCCGAGTCAAAGTCCACCGTTGTTTTCACTGTTAAATCTGGCTTCTCGCGGATTTTCTCCATTATGAAGTCCATAACTTGCATTATGGCTTCGACACTTCCGGTTATTAAACAGACTCGTTCGGAAGTCCCTGCAAAATCCATTGAAATCGTTCATTCAATGATTAGCGAAGGGCATTGGGGATTTCCTGGTATTGATTTCCACAATTCCAATCGCCCATTTTTCATTTCAATTGCGCACAATTTTTTTTACACTTTCTATTTATGAATGAATGATAAAAAATTTTGAAACTCTTCGAAAAGTTATGTTTTTTTGTATAAAACAAATTTTGTTCGAGTTTTAATCGTAGAGAATTTTTTGCGGTTTCAAAACAATAATTTTTAGGGCGGGAAATTAATTATTTATAAATTATCTCTAAAGAAAAGTATTTGCAATTTTCTGATCATTCTGATTAGAAAAAAATTTCATTTCATTTCATAAAAAAATTGATGAATAATCAACATTATTCAGTAGTTACAGTTGTTTTATTTACAGAAATTAATAATTAAAGATGAAAGAAAATTGCACCTTTCAATCAGACCCAGAGGGTCTCTCGACAAAAATTCTGATGAAAGAAAAAGAAAGACTGACGTTACCTGGATAAAAATCGCGAGCCTTTGACATTTTGACCCTGGCCTCAGTGTCCTTTTGCAGTTGTGCAATGGTCTCACCCCCCTTCCCAATGATGGCACCAGCGGCCACCCCTGGGACGAGCACTTTGAGGTGATACATTCCATCTCCTCCTGTCGACAATTCCAAATGAGCCATCAATCCACCATCGAATCCCCAACAACTCTCTCAATCATCTCGTAAAATAAGCCATCTTCAACCTTCAATATCTCAAGATCGGCTGAGTGAATTTCCCCAATTTTTTTTTCGTTCCAAGCTATTTCTTCAGACTTCAAAATGAGAGTTGGCCCATCCAAATCGCGTCGTTAGGTCACGAGATATCGAAGATTAAAGAAGATTTATTTTGCTTCTCCTCTCGCTAAACCGACTCTCCCATCAATAGTCGCGATGAAATGTCACAATATCTCCATTTCATCCTCAATACCGCATTATCCCTGAAAAAACCCAGCAAAAACTCCCCGAGTCGCACGTGGAACTTGGAACCTGTCGCATTGCGCAACCCAGAAACAAAAAAAAGAAAAAAAAATCGAGTTACACCTTCTGCAAGAGATGCAGGAGAGCAGCGACTGTAACTGTTTTTTTTCGCTCGCAGGTGTTGCCCGCCCCTCCGCATACCCTCAGACGCCCTTGGAGCCCTCAGAAAACCCCTCAGGCCCCCAAAAAATCGAATATCCGGGGCTAAAGATCGTTCTCCCCGCAAACAGCTGTTTGACAGACGTCGCTCGAGCCCGTGCCTCCCTCCCGACCTTGACCTGCGACCTAGCACTCCCCCGAAACCCAAAAAATTCACTCACCACAGTTCCACATCCCTTCAGATCCCCGAGCACCTCCAAAGTCCTCGAAAAATCCTCAAAAAACCCCCAACTCCCCCCCACTCCGATCAAAATTTTAATTACGTCTTCCCAGGAGACAAATCACCCAGTGACACAGAATTGCGGAGTCACACAGCTGCCATTACCCCCGCCCACACAAATCCCTAACGTCAAAGTCAAAAATCGCCCATCGATGCTCCAAAACACAGACTCAACAACTCGCTCCAACCCTGGGTTGGCATCAGGGGGGAAAAAAAATTGTTGAAGATTTGGGAGACGTGGCAGTGACCGAGATAAGATAATCCCCCCCGGCCAAAAATTAAAAAAACGTAAACCTCGATCCAAAAAAAAACGAAGGGCGATAAGCAAGAAAATAAGTGCTCCGAAAGGATTTCGATTTTTCAACTCACAATTTGCTCCGAACGATCGACACAAAAACGGAGCAAACATATATATATATGTATATATATGTATACATCTGTGAATGTGCCCAACGAAAATCCAAGACAAAGGGTAAATAACGAGGGGAAAAGGGATAATTGTTTGTGAATTAATTCAATTACCTGAGCCGTAATGAGACCTTTTGGTCGCCCCGTTCTCCACGTCACAATCCAAGGGCCGTTTCCTCGAGTCCGCAATTTCTGGTGACGGACACGTCTCCATTCCCGAGTCAGCGGCCATCTTGAGATTCGTATTCCACACCACCACCAACTAATCCCCAAAGTACGTTCAGTAATCAACCGAGATGTGTGTTTTTTTTTTTCTCCTCTTTTATTCCCCTCAGTATTTCATGAGAGAAACGAAATAATGAGGTGTGGTAACTCAACACAAATGATTTTTTTAAAATCCTCTCTATTGAATCCCTCTGTGTCTCTCTCCCCCCAATTGTCAGCGTTGATGATTAGTCTCGTCGTTTTTAACGGGGAAATTGACGGAAAAACGTAACAAAAAAAACGAACGAGGAGAACACGGTGACACCAACTGGGGCCGGGGGCAAACTGCTGGGGCAATCTGGGTCTGGGCCTCGACACGGGTGTCCCAGAGACCAAGTCCGGGTTATCAAACACTCCCGAGGGTGCGTTACGGTCTCTGGCGCGCGCGGGAACAAGATGACAACAATGCCACTGGAGGGGGCGAGGGAGGGGTCAGGGGGGATGGGTGGAGGTGGCTTTTAGGAAGTGGAAGAGTGAGAGATTTTTTTTTTAGAATTTTTTCTCTCCCCCCGCGCGTTCTTCCTCTCGCGGAGCAATTTTTTTTCCGAGATCGGAGCAACGATTTTTTTTTCCTCCTCTTCTGTTGCTCAATTCCTTTTGGGGTCAAAGGGGAAAGGAGAATTTTCTTTTGGAGAGGGGGAACACTAGAGACGACTAGTGACTAGCCTGGGCTTGGGTACAACTAGTGTCAGTGGTTTTTGATATGAAAACGATGAAAATTCTCGAGGGGTTTGGGCGAGGGGGATTTATGGGTTGATGGTGTGTCCAATCGTATTGCTTTGATCGTCTCCCTTCTACTTCTCGCTACTCCTCCTCCGCCTCTCCTTCGCCGATGACACTCAGGGGGAGAGGGAGTGATTACGGAGTCGTGGGAGCAGGGACGTAACTAGGGAGTGCAGATGGGGCTCGGTGCATCGGGGGATTTTTTTTTCGGATTTTGGAGGAGGCGCAGGCCATTCGCGATGTCCCGGGGTGGGCGAGAGGGATGTTTTTAGGGTTTTTGGGGGTTGATTCTATTTTTGGTCGATTTTATTTTTTTTTTGAGGGGTTTTTGAGGGGAGTGGGTGGAGGGGAAGTCGACTCCGTTGCCAGGCGATTTTTCCACAACGGCGGATCGTCTATTCACTTTCGGAATCGATTTTTGAGGTTTTCTATTTGGAGTTTCATCAGGAAATGCATTCTCTATTTCACCATTTCTCTTTCGTTTCCGGTTTTTTCTTTAGATTTTATTTTATGGAAATCATTTTTTGGTGTTATCACCATTTTATTTGTTTATCGATGTTGTTGCGTGAAAAATTCACGTTTTCTAAATTTTATTTTACGGTTAAATTCCGTTGCTAGGCGATTTTTCCACAACGGTGGATCGTCTGGTCACTCGAGGAATCGATTTTTATTCTCTTAATTTTTTATTTCATTACGAAAATTATTATTCTCCAGAGGCTATTTTCTCAGCCTCGCCTATTCTCCTCATTTAATCTCATTTTGTAATTTTAGAAACGAAAGTTTATCCTCATTACCATTATCAATATTTTATCCATTCAAAGAGCACTTCCTCACTGAAAAATCCTCGTCTATTTATTTTAGAAATCGACATTAATATTTTTTACTCCTGAATTTATAATTCAATTCATATTCTCTCGAGACTTCTCCATTCGACTTTTATTCCTCTTCTCCATTAACTTTCTACTAGAAATTTTCAATTAATCTCCATAATTTCTATCAATTCAATTATTATAAATAAAATTGTCACCTCTTTTCGCCCAAAAAATGAATTGAAAAATTTTCTCCTGAAACTTGGAAAAAAATTCATCCGTCCCATTTCATTTTGTTCCACAACTTTTTCTTGTTGACTCCTCTTCCATGTCTTTATTGTTCCTCAAGCCCGCAGTCCCTCGCCTGAACTATCTTTGGGTCTGTCTACAACACCCAGGAAGTATTTAATATGATAGATGAATGCACGAGGGTTTTTATAGGTGTTGGGTACGACTGACATTCAGTAGTAACATTCGATGCTACAGCGTGCAATGCCACGTTGACATTATTTCATCTAATAAAAAAAATATTGTAGAATGGAAAAACTCGATGTGTCGTATTATCATACGATCATTCTCTCATTACTCCTCTCCTATTCTATTTTTAATTCCTGAGTCAATAGATGATTATTCACCGCGGAATATGAGATTCTCTAAAATTCCGTGGCGAAGCGGTAAAAAGATTCACGTCGACTTGGCCCTCAGCTGAGTTTTCGAAGAATATCTCGGAACCCAAGGGAGATGGCGAAATTTTCGTAATTATCTTTTTTGTAGAGTGAATTGAGAGCTACAAAAAAGGTTATGAGGAAAATTCCGCTATCCGCCTTAGATTCCGAGATATAAATTAAAATCTGACCGATAGCTAAATCTACTTGAACTGTTTTACGTTTCGCTCCTGAATTTTCGTCTCCAGACATGAAGTAAACGTCACGAACTTGAAGTCGACCCCCTTATTTCCCCGGTAATAGTTAAAAGTCCATTAACAGCAAATTATAATGATGCGGACGTCATTCCAGCCCATTAATGCATTCCAAAGCAGGAAATTCCAAAAACATGCAGATGCACCCATTTCGCTCCTGAATTGTCGTCTCCAAAAAATGGAATAAACGTCATGAGCGTAATAGTAGATCCCCTTATCTCCCTCTTAATAGTTAAAAGCCCATTAACAACAAATGAAAATGATGCGGATGTAATTTCAAACCCATTAATGCACCCCAAAGTGACCAAATAAATTCCCTGGACAACGTAAATTTCGAAAATTTCCAAAAACATGCACATGCACCCCATTAAAAATTGATTGCAGCCGTTAAAATTTAATAGTCGACCGTGACACGAATTAATTGTATTTTTATATAATGATAATGAAATTGTGACGGCATGGACTAGCAGGGAGTGTACACGTGTATTTATACATTCAACTGATGCTTGTGTATCGTTGTTTTTGATCTATCGATCTGTATTGCACATTTTACTCGTTGTATCTGCGATTACGTTCAATTACCAATGCCATAGGATTACATAACAAGTCGGATAGCTGGTCTAGATTGGAGATACGGGAGGCTCAAAGTGGTTCTTCGATGTTTCGTGATTTCATAGTTTTACACAATTAGACGATTTCATTCCCTATTTTCATTTCGACTTCACAATTTTATTTTTTATGTTGTATTTTACTCGTCAGATGTACCCCCTCGGTTTTTTGCATTTCGTTTCCTGTCCTCATAAAAGTTTTCAAGATATAAATAGTTTTTTTATTATTAAAATCCAGTAAACGAAGTGGTAAAACATTGGAAGTGCACTTGGCTCCTGAGTTTTCCGGAAATATCTCCGAATCTAAGCGAGATAACGAAATTTTTGTCTCTAGCTTTTTTGTAGCTTTTAAATTGCTCTACAAAAATGGTTTCGACAAAAATTTTGCTATCTGCTTTAGATTCCGAGATATTCACGGAAAACTGACCAACAGTTTCACTGCTTCGCTACTAATCAACTTTTTTCAATATTTTTTTGGGAAAGAATTTTAAACGTTAGAAAATCTTTTACTTTTTCGTTTTCTGAGTATGTGGGATATTTAGGAAGTCTTCTTTTCTAAAAAGACTTATAAATTAATTGCAAAAATGCAATGCTCAATCTCAAAAATGATTTTTTCTCAGCCAGTTGATCCATCAGACAAATGATAATAATTGCGATGAAAAGGTGGCAATCGCCTAGAGCTGAAGGTCACGAAACAAACGTACATTAATTATTCGCTGTAATGAGGCCCGGAGGACGCGAGAAAGATGAAAAAATTGATAAAAACGGGTGAGCGAGAGTGAACGAATGTCAGATGCATTGCAGCGTTGAATTGTCCTTGATGAGAGCTACAACTGCGTCTGTATGCGTTCCTAGACTTGTTTAGAGCTGTCGCAGCGGCGAGAAATAACATTCGAGTGAGAAAATCCAGGCGTCATGCCTGTAGGACAAGGACAATGCACTCTATAAGGTTTTTTATTCCCATTTTCTTGTTTTCCACAGGCTTTTTTACTTCCACTCGACAATTTCTTTTAGCGTTGAAAATCGAACTTGTAGTATTTATGAGCATCGATTCCAGACGAACACGAAACTATTCCTGAGTTATTTTCAAAGGCAGGGCCAATAGTGCCAGTGAATAGACAAGTTGTTTGAATAGTTCACAAGTTAAGTTTCGTGGAAGAAAAATTCTGTTTTCGTGTTGGTGCGTCTCTAGGCGGTAAATTTCATTGGGATTAGGATTGTTTGGGGCCTCCTGGGGAAATCTTCCCCCTCGCAATTTACATAACAACGATTTGCGATTGACAAAAGCCCGTTGAATCGCTCATTCGTCAGCTATTTCACGTACACATATTGTTGAGAGAAAATCCAATGCGAATGAATTTTTAATTTTTAATCAATTTTCCTGTTCATCTCCATTGTCATCAATATTCAGTTGGGATCAAGGGAAAAATGGGATTATTCGTCAATTTGTCATGCATTTATTTGTTTTCTCATTTTGAAGGTTGAAAAAACATGACGGAAATGAATATTTCACCGTTTTTTTTTCTGAAAAATTTATTTAAAAAATTGAAAATCCATTGATGCAACTCCAGATAATTTCGGGTCCAAATAATGAACTATATTCGGAGTAAATTTCATTGAAATTATGTTTGTTCAGAGCCTCAGGAGAAATTTTCCCCCCTCGCAATTTACATAACAACGATTTGAGATTGACAAAAGCCCGTTGAATCACTCATTCCTGAGCAATTTCACGTAGACAATATTGTTGAGGGAAAATCCACTACAAAGGAATCTTTCTAGTCAGCCCTCCCCCCTTCGATGACTGGTCGATGGTTATCGAACATGTGACGTGGCCCCCACTCCTGAAATCATTACACAAACAGCAGCTCAGATAAAACAGGGTGAGACAGTTTTCAATGAAACTTTAACGGATTTCAGATAGCGGATGTACTAGGCCGAATAGAATAAATGTTTATTCACATCCGAGATGATTTTTATTTATAGAATTTCGTGAAAAAGCAGAATAATTCCAAGACGATTCTAAACTTTTGAAATTTTATCGCGTTTCGCTTTGCTTTTCGTGTTTGTAATTTTTTTTTTTTTTCATAAAAAAAATGAAAAGAAAAACGAGAAGTCTTGCTCAATCGAAGGCTGCCTACCAGCATATCCCGTTTTTATTTACGACAGCGGTGTTATTAATTTGCATAATCGATGTTGCATTTGGTAATCATTGTTGGGTAACGATGAGTTTAGAGAGGATTTCGTAGGAAAACAGGAAAATACTCTCCATTTTCCCCAATTTTTCGCTCTTTCCCGTTCAATTTATCGATTTTGTTGAATTCTCCCGCTATTCTAGTCAAATCAGCGACCAAATTCGCCAAAATCATTTCTCAAAAATAATAATAACACTCTAAAACAAGCTGATTTTGCCCCAATTAATCCTAAAAATAATTGTTTTGTGTTTTTGAACTGTTTTATTTTTCCTGTTTTGACATTAAAAGTTTTCATTTTCCTCTGACGTAACCTAACCTGCAGTACCAGGTGACACGTGACGCACTCGGCTCCATTATCAACAAAACTCCAAAACGTATCAGTGACAAAACTCGTTACATAACTCCAGTGTCCAGTGTGTTCACAGTTTATGTTCGCAGTTATGCCTGGGACTCCAGAAATCTGGAGAATAGCCCAGAGGCTCTGAAATGTCGGAGTGACCGGCGATGGAGGACAGTAATTTGACTACTGTCAGGGTTTTATTGTTCGCCAAGGCACGTGAATTGTCTGGTGCCTCGGAGGATTGCATTGTAACCCCGAGGAAAGTATCTCCAGCTCAGTTGACCGACTTAATTGTCAGACAGTTTAATTTGGAAGCTATCAGGGATAATTTCATGCTGACAGTCAATTCGGAGTTCGTTTTGGACTCTGCGATTTTGGAACTGTCTGAGGGCGACGAGATTGCGGTGATTCCACCGTTGAGTGGAGGTAATTATCCTAGAGGCAATTAGAAATCATTTTTTACATTAAAAGGTGACACAGGAGATGATGAAGCGAAACGCGTCTGGTCGAGTCTCCAATATCTCTTGGAGGAGTTATACTAATGAACTAATTTTTTTTTTTATTTTGAGGGTTGAAAGAATATATTAAAAACGAATATAATTTTTTAAATTTCACTCAACAGATCTGGAGATATTGACAATTAAAAACAATTCTTTTGTAGAGAATTCATTATAAAAATAATTGTCGAGCAAAAATAGATCTCTTAAATTCTCAATATCTCCTAAACAAATGATGCGAATGAGATATTTTTTTTTTAGTTTTAAACCCTGAAAGAAACTCTTCAAGATGAAAGACGAGTTGAGAATTTTGACTCAGCCGCTCTTGAAGATGATTTTTTCCTTAAAAATTGATTAATGAAATTGCAGGTTAAAATGGAAGAGCAAAAATCGATAGTTCATCTCCAGAAGGAAAAATTGAACATAAATGACATCATCGAGGCTGTCACCTCCCCCTCGTGTGGGGCAATATCGACGTTCATTGGGACAACTCGAGATAATTTTGAGTCCAAGAAAGTAAAGAGGATGATGAATTATATTTAGAGCACTCGAAGGAGTAATTTGAAGCAAATTTATTGGATCACGTTCCCCTTTCAGGTACTGAAATTGGAGTACGAGGCGTACGAGCCCATGGCCCTGAAGGAGATGTCCAACATTTGCAAAAAAATTCGGGAGCAGTGGAATGTCCAGCACATAGCGATAATCCATCGTCTGGGAGAAGTGCCTGTTTCAGAATCGAGTATTGCAATTGCAATTTCGTCGCCCCACAGGCAGGACTCCCTCCAGGCTGTCCAGTTTGCCATTGATACAGTTAAATCAAGTGTTCCTATCTGGAAGAAAGAAGTTTACGATGATCAAGGGGCTGTGTGGAAGGAGAATAAAGAATGTGCGTGGTCGCATAAATAATTGACTTTATTTTTAATTTCTGTTGATTTTTCTTCCATTTTTTTATCTCTGCACTGAAGAACTAAAAAATGTTAAAAGTTTATAAAAGATGCTTGCATTAACAAAACACCTTTTTCATGATTACCAGAACAATAATTTTTTAAGTTAAAAGTATAACATTACCGTAACGAGTCGGAAGATAATGTAATGAATACTATTATCAATTTTTTTTCGTCTTGCAGCATTTGGATACTCATTAGCATGTAATTTGCTTCTATCAGTGTAACAATTCACAATAAATTCTACAGTTGCATGACTGTTTCTTTTATTGATAAGAATTTTAAACCTTGCAGTGTATTCTGCAGTTATATGACTGTTATTGTTACCAAATTATATATTTTCTAATGTTGAGAATAAACAAAAATTCCTTTTGAAGACTGAAAATAATTGTTTGTGTTGCTTTTAGGTCATAAGAACGTAGTTATCAAGTCCGAGCGCCTGGATGTCGATGATCCTGGTAGAAATGAGTCTGATCGTTCTGATAGAGTGAAGATCGACGTTGATCCTAGTCAGGTTCAAGTGAGGGCGAGCGCCGAGGAGTTGAGGCGAAGGATCGGCGCTTTTATTTCGAGAAAAAGAGAGCAGAATAATATGTTCAATATCCAAGAGTTCTGCAGCCACAGGTAATCATCTCCAAATTTAATCAATTCTTCATTTCCACTGATAAATTCCAATAATAGAGAATTAATTTCCATTTGTTATTTTACTTTAGAAATCTGAAAGATGAGAATGAGAGCTCGTGTGCTCGAGTCGATGCCATCCTAATTCCCCGAAAGGACTCGAAAAGTCACGTGAAAGGTACCATTTTGACGAGAACGTCAAGTATTCGAACTGTGTTTGAATACAGTTTGTTTGTTTAGTTCATAGAGTCTTCAACGCCCACGGTCCTCAAACAATGAAGCCCTCAGCTCTCCAAACATCACCAGAATTTCCCAATACCCCTGAAACTGTTAACCCAGTCCTCGACGAACGCCTGTCGAGTCCAGAGAAATTTCTTGGCATCGAAAAACCTGTTCCCAGGGATATTTACCAACGGATTAAAAATATTGAGGACAGAATTCGGTATTTGGAGAGTCTGTCACCAGAGTACAAAGACTTTTTCGTAAGTAAAACACCAACTAATGAAAAATAATTTGAAAAAAACACCAATAACAATTTAATTGATGAATTTTTAATTCTTAAAACTTCAAATTGTTGTGGAAAAATCGTTTTAAATCAAAATAATATTTTTTTTTAGACTTTGGGAGCTGTGGGGGGTCAGGACAGGCCCCAGAAACCAGTCAGAAAAAGGGTAAGCGTTCCCTAATAATAATAATAACAATAATAATAATAAAACAAACAAAACAGAATGTCTTACGAATCCGCGATATTCCAGTCACTTTGCAATTCCATCGAATGAATTTATGTTTTAGAAACATGCAAACCCTTCCCATTACATACCCCAAATACAGCAAACGCAATACCATTTTACCATCTGCGTACATTTGATCATAATCCTGTATACAATTTTAAAATATTCATGTTGACGATGGAATATTGTTGGTTCCACGTAGTACCTCTCTTGGAATATAATTTTATGTGATTTTTTTTTCTAATTTTTTTACAGACGTTTTCGAGTGCTGAATTGGATAATAAACTCGTGGAGCTAGAGGAGAAATACGCGAAAAAAGTGAGATGATCGTAATTACCTTGAAATTATTATTATTTTTTTTAAATTAAATCGAATGTAGATTATTCCGGATTTATTGGGTGGACTGGTCTCAATAATTCTTCGGAGTTGAAGGTGTTTTTGATTTGACATTTAATGCAATTTTCGATAAGAAAATTTTGGATAAAGAAAGATTAGGGATTTTTAAAGAATTTGATTATGAACATTTTATTATCACTAATGGAGAGTAATAATTGAATTCTCCAACATTAGAAATTTAGATTTTCAATGTTTAAATGGGAATCTGATGTTGAGGCGAAATGCAACAAAAAGAATTCCTCAAAACTCCCCCCAGAAATTCTTTATTGAAAAAAAATTAGTTATGCAACTAATTTTTAAAAAATAATAATAACCCCAAATAAAGTTACGCCCCTCCCTTTGACCCTCTTAACTCCAAATATAATAAAAACAATTTCCGAAGGACTTAAAAATCCTAAATTGATACAATTTTTCTCCTTCAAAAATTTCCTAAAACTATTTGTGCAAAAAAATGAATTATTTCTCTTAACTCCAAATATAACAAAAACAAATTCCAAACGACTTGAAAATCATAAATTAATGCAATTTTTCCGCTCCAAAAAATCCTCAAAACTCCGCTAAAATTATTTATACAAAGAAAATGAATTATTTCATAATTATCCTCTCCCCTTTGGCCCTCTCAACTCCAAATTAAAAAAAAACAAATTTCAAAGGAATCGAAAATCCTAAATTAATCCCCAAAATTATTTATGAAAAAAAAATAAAAGATTTCAGGTAAATGGAGCAAACTTTCTACAAAAAAATAAATCTATTTCTCCTCCCCCAGGGCCTCTCTCCTCGCGAATAAAACCCATGCAAAAATTCTCTCCTGACCTTTATTTTAATAATTACCCAGAAATTGAAGTAAAATCGATGAACAAAAGTTTCCACCAATCCCCGTGCATTTGCGCTTTTACCCCCGACTGTACTCAACCGTAGTTTGATATTCGACTGGTAGAGGCAGTCGCCGTCGCGCAACCAGACGGTATGGCCGTAATCGGTGGGATTTGTACCGCCGTAATTCACTAGATCGAACCTCGAACCCTATTTTTTTTTATTTATCCCCCCCCCCCCCCCCCCCC